CCTAATGGCAAAAGGGCCGAGTGACGCGGCTCTATCAAATCCTCAATATTTCAGGGGGGAAATGAGACAGCGACTTGGAGCAGAGCAGCCTTGGAGTTGTCTCGCCTCGCTCCTCCGTCCCGCAGCGGCAGCGCAGCGCGCGGGCGGCGCTCGGCGGCGAGAGAGACTGTTTTCCCTCCAAATGCTGGGCAAACACCGGAGCCAGCCCATTTCCTTTCTCGCCGGCGCGCAAGAGAAGGGAAATAAAAAAAGTATACCTCAGAAAAGCAGGACCAGAGGCAGGGCAGCAGCAGTAGCGGGTATGCTGTAAAACAGCTATGGCCCTTGACGGAGAGCAGCAGCTCTCGTGTTTGGGCAACGCAAAACCACATCGCACCCCAGGTGAGCTTAGGTGAGGGTCTTATGGGGAGGCGGATCTATTCGATCGCTCCTTTGGCCTGAGCTCAAGCTGAAGACATGAAAAAGAAAAAGGTCAGCCTAGCGTGAGCCACCTCATACCGAATACTACAGGTATATGGAGACGTACGGTTGCAAAGTAAGTGAAGTGAAGTCGCGCCAGTGCTGAACGTGTGTGTGTGTATGTGTGTCACCACTGCACTGCCACTGCAGTACACGTAGCGATGGTCTGGTCTGCCACAAGGCTTGCGGTGCAGGACGACGGCATGGTCGCTGCTGACCACGGCCTCTCTTCTCTGCCCGCGCATTCGCACAGGACAGCACAGCGATGCCGATGAAACGCGCAACACGACAGCGATGTTGTGTCGCGATAGCGTCATCATCCAATTCACTTTTAATGTCGGCGTCCACGACGCGGAGCGCCGCCGGGAGGGCGGGGTCTGTCGGGGAGGCCGGGGTCAGAAGGTCATCGGGTCAGCGACGGGCTGACGGCGCCCGCGGCCGGCGGTATGCACCATGGTCCTTGGTATGCACTCTGCTGGACGAGCTGCACGACACTTGTGTTGATCAGTGCCCTGGGACTCGCTGGCGTCCCGCCCGTGGAAGGAAGGTCGAGTCCCCAACAAGAAGTTAAAGTCGTATTAAGTCATTAACGAGCCCTCCTCCTGCCCCCTCGCCGCCGCCGCCCGCCCGCCCCGGCAAAGTGGGCAACGCGACAAAGCGTGAGATTTTGTTGTCGTGGAGGCGCAGACGCGCCAAGGAGGGAGAGGGCTCTGGAGAGGGCCTCGGCGCCACCGGGACCTCGGCCTGCTGGAGAGAGTCCAGCGGGGATAGTTTACTGGAGAGGGCCCGCGGCCCAACGAGAGACGAGGTTTCACCAACTACCCCGGAAATAAGACTCTTCCGAACTCCCGTTGGAGTTTGTGCGAGGGGACTTCTCGAGGGGGTACATGAGGACACGGGTCCTGCTCGCGGTGGAGAAACTCCAGACGAGCAGGCCGGAGCCGCAGGCTTCCTGCCTGCAGGGAGGCTCGCCGAGGGCGGCGGCGGCGCGGCCTGAGAGGATGTCCTCGCCGCGTTCCCATGCCCGTCCCGCCCCGTCCCGCCGCCGCCGCCGGCCACCTTTCCTCCCCCGTGAACTTCTTGTCTCCGTCCGGCGCGCAGCAGTCGCCGCACTATTCGCCACTACTCGGCCCGGCCTGTGTGAATCGACTTTGTGAAGACCGCCCGCTCCTCTCCCAGGAGGAGGAGGAGGAAGGAGAATGGCCAGCTTCCTGGCCGCCGAGATGCATGGCATGATGCGGGGTGGTGCTGCCGCCACCGCCGTCCAACAGACTGACCTCCTGATCGTTTCGAAACGCGTCGTCGTGCAAAACTGACCATCAATGCGATAGCCAGTGATGCTACTACCTTTACTTTTCCGACCGGCCCTCCTGCCCCGCAGCAGCAGTCCACTGAGTGGATCGCTGTGGTGGTCCCCGTGTTGTGGTGGTGGTCCCAGGAGGAGGCAGGCCCCCTTCCCATTCCTGGCGCTGCGTGGCGCCGCCGCTGCCACGCCGCCCTGGCGCCCAGGCATGACTAATGCTCGCTCAAAACCCACACACCTCCTTGTTTTTCCGTTTCCGGTTGGAAGCAGGGGCGTCGACACCGGGGAGGGCAGGGGGGGCAATGCCCCCCCCCAAATTTTGGCCAGG